GGTATCCTAACTGCCCTTGTTACTTACTTAGTCTTCTTCCCGGGCGGTCGGGCCGCCGCAAAGTCATAACTAGCCGCATTTTCAGGGGTAGACTTAATCACAAACTTCGGTCCTTGATTCGACTTCTTACTTGTATCGGTGCGATCACCAAAAAAAAAGCTCTAAAAATTAACACAATTATAAAGAGGGCAGAAAGGTTCAGATTTAAAATTTATGACCGGAATAAGGTAGAAATTGGTGTCAGCTACTAGCGCAGGCATACTTCGCCTCTTTACAATCCTTACAAATGACTAATTAGGTAGCAGTGAGTACAAACACAGATAATATAAGAAAAAGAACCTAGCCATGTGACAATAACCGACTTTTTTTTTTGTACACACATTAATAAGCTACGTTGTATTGGTTTTTGTTCCACGTCTCGTTTCAAAATGTTTAAACGATTGTAGCTATAGTTCACCGCGGGTTTCCGCGACTGTACCTTTCATGCAGGCGTATGTATTCTCAGCCATTATACACTGATTTTATTTAACTACAGAACTTTTATTTGCTGACATATTTGACTATAAATTTAGATAAAACGAAATGACATGAAATTTACTATTATCTAATAGATGCGTGGGTAAATAAATACTTACTGTTATCGCTCCCATCTTGCTTAAACAATGAATTTAAACAATCAATAATATTTCATGCAACTGAATAATAATCGGTACAAAATGTAAAATAATAAACACATGGTTTTAAAGATATATCAATAAATTATTTTGAAAGCTTTATACAAATTCTAGAAACAAAAATTGACAGTGCAATATTATTCTTTTTCTCGAAGAATTTGAGTTACGAAAAAAGTTTTAATTAAAAATGACTTTCTTGATTTATTGCGGAAACTCAAAAATAATAGTAATTTATTGTTTTTGTATGTATGAAGATTATTTATCTATTAGTATATATATATATATATATGTCGGAGTTGGGTCTTTCTCCCGACATCATTGCTACCGAGTCTTGGTTTCGTGGGCGTTATTTGGGTGAAGTGCGAGCATTAAAACACTAGAGACACGGATTAACACAATATAATTCGGAATCTACACTTATCACATAGCAAATCAACAACACCGACCGAGCAGCGGGTTCGTGGCACCGTTCGTACTTCTACTACACTACTCTCCTCAATCGACTCGCCACTGTGCCAACACGCACCACAACATGTCACTACAAACGTCGCCTTCTAAGCACTGAACTGCGCCTCGACCCCGCTCGAGCTAATAAAGGCCACTCGAGCCGCTTGCTCTGCTCTTATTGGTCATATGCAAGTTGACGTACTTTTAATTTTAAAAAGAACTAAATACAAATGACATCGAGTTTCTACTTTCGAGAAAAAGGAATTAAATTAATAATTTTATCTTAAACAATATTAAAACGCAAGACAATAACGTTTGTTACACATAAAGCAACAGTCAATTTATAGCTTCCTGCGACATATATATATATAAAAACATCTATACTAAGTACTATTATAATAAGCGTAAACACACACTTCTTTGTTGCCTAAGATGTCAGCAATTACAGCATGTTTTTGAATAATACTTTTTAATAAAAAGCCCTAGCCCTAGCCACTTACGTCACGCTTTAGGCTATATACTTTTACGCCATTAAACTTAGAGGGTAAATATTTTGGACAAAAAGCCTAATACGGGAAAGAGACCATAAGTTGCTGCCAACATCAAGGATGCAAGATTGTCAATGTTTGTCATGTCATGTGAGTTTGACATTTGCTATTGATAATTTGACAAATGTAAACAATAAAATGAAATTATCATAATTTCATGCGGATGAACATTTACATCTTGGGAAGAGGGGTGGCTGAAAACCAGCTCGACACTGGATCTCAACCAGTATCGGTTAAGCTGAGCCTCCCCCTTTTGCCACCTTTAATAAGAAAATAACAATCATTTAATTTATTCCAAACATTATGACAAAAATAAGAATACACTGAAAATAACAAATTTTAATTAAAAATTTTACCAATTACAATTAAAAGTAAGAACATGCATAAAATAACTATGTATGATACAAAAAAAAAACTATTGTTTTCTCTACAAAGAGATTCAAAAATATGGAAGAGGCATATTTGACACTTCACTTGAAACATTTTTAACATAATATCAGTAACGCTATCTGTCGATAGATTATTAAAGCCAATTACTTGTATTAAAACAATCTTTTTTTAAATGTCTTTGTTTCTTTAATACTTATTTCATTATTTTAATGGATTTGTTAAACCTGTTCATATCCAGGGCTGGTTTTAGAACGCGCCCTTAGTTCTAGAACATAGCTCTATGGTTATCATATAATCATATGTCATATAACATAAATACTGATAAATACTGAACGGATCTCAATGAAATTTCGTACAAGTTTGGAGCATAGTCTGGAAGAACACATAGGTTACTTTTTATCCCGGGAATAGTTACGGTTCCCGTGGGATTCATTAATTTAGTTTTTTAATGTTTACTTAATCATTCTGCAACGGTTCCACATATCTTATTGAAATTTGGCACAGATATAAAACCAAGTCTGGAGTACACATGGGATAAGGTTCATCCCTGAGAAATGTCCGGTTCCCGAGGGATACGTAGCTTTTTGTAATTTATATAGTTCGTATGTTTTTTAATACCACGCGGAAGAAGTCGCGGGCAACGCTAGTTTAGATTATGAATAGTGCAGGGTATAGTAAGTAGGGTTATATTACAATAAAACAACATTTCTCTATGATTATTTACAAACATTTATTTTATTCATTTAAAAAGAAAAATATCACCTTCCAGGATCTATTATAAAGAAGGCAAGTACAATAAGACACCTATTTGTGTATTATTGAAGTTAATTTTTATTAACATGGTTTAAGAAAGCGTTCTGTGTAAAGAAACAATTTAATTTTTCAATTTAATAAAAAAACTGTATTCCAACACTAAATTAAATAACTGGTTAAAAATACGGAATTAATTTTTATTGAATTATTTAAATTTCGAAATTCAAAATTAGAACGCTCGAATTTTAAATGCGTTGCCGAAAAATGGTAACATTAAAAAAATACTTTACGACAATTTAAATTAAGAATCATTTTAAATCTTAATCAAAATAATTTATGGTTTAGAATTTATGCTTTCTTACTGTGAAATTCCAGTTTTAAACATTGTTATCTCTTTCTTGTTTTCTATACAAGTCTTCAGACAATGGAAATCCACAGCATAACATGAGTACATAACATTCTACAACATTCAAATGTTACAAGTTATTACTGAAACATGTTGAACAACATGTTTATGTAGTGAAAACTCACATAGATAAAAACACTGTTTACAATTGTACTTATTTTAGTTAAAAGGATTTCTAGAATTATTAATTTTTTTATACTGTCAGTTTAATATTCATGAGGCGATGCCACACAAGCGTTTGCGTCAGCGTAGCTACAACGGAGCGGTTACTAGCTCGTTTTATACAAATGAACAGGACAGACAGACAAAAAAAAAATTAAATGCGATTCTCGTTATCAGCAACTCAAATACATCACCTTCACGAAATCTGGAATTTTTCTTATATTACAAAAAGACACTCCAATTTTATTACATGTATAGACAATGTGATAAACATTACACAAAGATGAAAGATCGGATTTTGGCGGTTAATGAAAGTTTAATGAAAACAAAGAGAATAATTATATTTTATAAATATACTATAATTGTTTATTAACATAAGAAAATATTAGCAATAATGTTTATTACTTATGCTTACATATTATATAAGTATATTTCTCGTATACATTATATTTTCAAATGCAGTGTAAACTGATAAAAAGGAATTAAAAACATGCATCTAACTTGTCTTGCTTTCTTTATATGTGTAGTTTGACATTTCTTCCATTAAACATAACTGTATACACAATGTTTTCGTCCCATTATATAATAAATAAAAACAAGTAATAACACGCGTTACATTATTTTGCAATTTTCCTAAATTAAAACTAGTATACAAATTTACATGAACATAATTTAAAAACTTGGCCCCTGTAATAAATTACGCGAGTTTTAAACCCCTTTCTGTTATTATAACAGCTATAATATTAAAATGAACCTATAGGCTTTATCGCAGCAATTTGACTCGTTGTGGCACACCGTTTGGCGATTCGCTCCGAAAATGTAACGTTTGTGTGGCATCTCTCTTACAACAGAAAGTAACAATAAAACCCTTAAACGAAATATAGAAATGTTAAACTTTGCAAGAAATTTTGTATTTTTGACCTATTTTTTATATTGCTGTAATTGCTGACATCTTAGGCAAATATTACTTATTTATTTGTCTTATTTATAACTTTTAAGTTAATAAGACAAATAAATAAGTAAAGAAATAAGGCAAGAATGAAAATATGAAAGAATTAATTTAGATAAATGCAATGTGAAAATAATTTTAAAACTCATTTATTAATATAGCTGACTTACTTATTACAAAGAAAAGATAATAGCAATATTTGGGATGTTCAACGCCAACAGAAAGTGTTCTTCTATACTTTTATAATAAAGCATAAACACACACTTCTTTGTTGCCCAAGAAGTCAGCAATTACAGCATATTTTTGAATAATACGCTTACCTCATGCTTTAGGCTATATATTTTCACGCCATTAAACTTAGGGGGAAAAAATTTTGGATTAACCCTAATGTGGGAAAGAGACCATAAGTTGGTGCCAACATTAAGGTTAGCCAGATCGCTAAGGTTTGTCATGTCAAGTCATTTTGACATTTGCAATTGATAATTTGACACATGTAAACAATAAAATACTTTTTTTTTTATAATTATATGCAGATGATGTTGCATGGGAACAGCTAGTTAGTTGATATAACTTTTCTTTTGTACAGATTTTTATTAAAAAAACAAAGTACCTTTTCAAACAGTTTATATAAAAAATAAGACTGAATTTTGGTTTATTTTGCATTTATTTTGTTTTGTTTATTCTTTTTTTATTCATCAATTCATTAGACTTTTTATTTTGTTTTTTTCTTTTATTTCTTTTAAAAGCTCAGCCAGAGTTGATCCAGCATGCGTCAGGTAAATGCTTTATTTTTTGTTTTTTTTTTTTTAATACTCATTTTGCTTTTTCATTTATAGGTTTTAAAAGTTTTTACTTGCATTTGTTGTGTTTGATTTATAATTGTAAATATTACAAATGTAGTGAGGGAATTGCCTTCTTTGGGGGAACTATCTCTTTAGGGGTGATCACTTTTGGGAAATCAACCTTTAAGAACTATTGACTTATGTTTAATCAATTTTTAGTGTAAAAACCCTAAAACTGTGCATTCTAAGATATATGTTTTTTTTTCAGTGTACCGAGGCAACTCCGGTAATTCCATCAGACCAACAATCTTCAGCGCAATCTCCACAACTCTAATGTACTTTCTTGTTCGAATGCTTTAAACTGATAGCCTAAATTATTTATTTGTTAGTATCGATAATTTAATGGAGGGAAGACGAGACGCACAACACTATTTGTATAAAAAAAAGCGGCAATTTTACAAAAAACACCAATCGAATCGGAACATTTTAAAAGTTGTTTTTTTGACATCATTTTTGTCACTGCGTTTGACAGCTGTCATTTTGATGTCTGTTACAGATTATAAATGGCGGATTTTTATGCATTCAATTTTTTTAAAGTTATTTTCTGTCACTGAGTAAAAAAATTCACCGCCAAAATACATTTCACAGATATTTTAGCGTCTTGTCTTAGAGTGATTTGTATACTAGTTTTAATTTAGGAAAATTGCAAAATAATGTAACGCGTGTTATTACTTGTTTTTATTTATTATATAATGGGACGAAAACATTGTGTATACAGTTATGTTTAATGGAAGAAATCTCAAACTACACATATAAAGAAAGCAAGACAAGTTGGATGCATGTTTTAATTCCTTTTTATCAGTTTACACTGCATTTGAAAATATAATGTATACGAGAAATATACTTGTCGGAGTTGGGTCTTTCTCCCAGACATCTTTGCTACCGAGTCTTGGTTTCGTGGGAGTTATTTGGGTGAAGTGCGAGCATTAAAACACTAGAGACACGGATTAACACAATATAATTCGGAATCTACACTTATCACATAGCAAATCAACAAGCAAGACCGGGTTCGTGGCACCTGTTCGTACTTCTACTACACTACTCTCCTCAATCGACTCGCCACTTTGCCAACACGCACCACAACATGTCACTACAAACGCCGCCCTCTAAGTACTGAACTGCGCCTCGACCCCGCTCGAGCTAATAAAGGCCACTCGAGGCGCTTGCTCTGCTCTCATTGGTCGTATGCAAGTTGACGTACTTGTAATTTTAAAAAGAACTAAATACAAATGACATGGAGTTTCTACTTTCGAGAAAAAGGAATTTAATTAATAATATTATCTTAAACAATATTAAAACGTAAGACAATAACGTTTGTTACACATAAAGCAACAGTCAATTTATAGCTTCCTGCGACATACTTATATAATATGTATGCATAAGTGATAAACGTTATTGCTAATATTTTCTTATGTTAATAAACAATTATAGTATATTTATAAAATTACAAAATATAATTATTCTCTTTGTTTTGGTGATGTATTTGAGTTGCTGATAACGAGAATCGCATTTAATTTTTTTTTTGTCTGTCTGTCCTGTTCATTTGTATAAAACGAGCTAGTAACCGCTCCGTTGTAGCTACGCTGACGCAAACGCTTGTGTGGCATCGCCTCATGAATATTAAACTGACAGTATCAAAAAATGAAATAGAACAAGCACTATCTTTCGTATAAAAAAGAATAAAACCATGTAACACAGATAAAAAACTCCTTTTGGGAATTCTGTTAAAAATGGATATAAACTATCCATGTTTGGATTTTATTACATAAATAATACACCAATATTTAGTAAAGTCATTAAAAAGATTGACGTATTAATTCTTTAGCATTCATGTATGTACCAAAGACGCCGAGAAATGTGCCAAAAATACATATCAAAAGCCATTTGAGTAATCGCCATTTCATAAAGCCCAGACCTGGATATTCCCAATCTAAACATAGTTCAATAAGAGCCGGGTAAATAAAGCCCATATTCGATAAGCAGAACGAACCGAGCTGAAAAACATTTTAAACTTATTAAAAATTAGGAAAGCAAGAAAAGAAAACATTTTCGGTCAAAGTGACCTATTTAAATCGATTAATACAAATCGATACGGACAAACATATGCAATAGAATTTATTTTTAATGAACAATCGATTTACATTCGTTTCATAATATCCATAGCTTTTTAAAAATAAAAAAGGTTTTTGACGCGAGATTATAAAATCATCGTAAATGTACAGTCAGGGAATTTGGCAGTGTACATTAATTGTATAACCTTGAACGTTTGAAATAAACGTGTTGAATATATCTGTACATAAAAAGCTGGGTCATTCCAACAATTCCTTTTTATTGTCCTATCACATAACTCACTGTTAACTAATAAATTATTTGTAAGAAAAGGCAAAGTTGTGTCTAATTGCAAGGGACAAGACAATTTCCTTGAAAGGAACTTCGCAGATTTCCGCACGTTACAGGGATCGAACCTAGACGATTTAATCAATTGCTTCATAGTCAATCTTACTAATATACATACGAAAATTTAGATGGATGTTAGAGTTTACTGCTTAAACTGCTAAACGAATCTCAATGAAATTTGGCACATTGAGTATGGCACATAGGTTAATAAGTTTTTTTAATTCCACACGGACATTCGCGATAGCCAGCATCAAGTCGACTTACCAATCCAATAAAAGATGACACATTGGGGAAGATAAACGCAATCACCGTGATAAATACAACAAACAATGCTCTGTACACTCTCTCCCAGAACCAGTACTTTACTGGGGGATATTTCTCCTTAATGTAGAACCAGACTAAATCGAACGGTACCCAAAAGTTGAGGGCAAATGTCACATATATAATTATAGCCATAAACACTTTGAGAGCAATCGAGAACCTGAAAGTATATACAAGTTTAAATGTTAAAGCGGGCTCCACTGTTAAGCCATCAACTTCTACACAGAACACACACAAGTGGTAGCACCGAATTGTCTGACATCGCTACACCGAACAATGTAACATCAGCAAGATGATTTGGTGACTAGTTAAGTTTACTTACGCTGTGAATGGAAAGTTAAGTGTAACAGGAGACTTGGAATGTTCACCAAAACCCCAATATCCAAAAGTCCCGATCACGAATACAATTCCCACTACAACACTCATACCTGAAATTCAAAACGTTATATAGTAGTTCTGCCAACTTACATATAAAACACACAATCTCTAGATTAAGACTAGCTGTTCCCGTGCGGCTTTATCCTCATGAAATTATAAATAAAATATTTCATTATTTACATTTGTCAAATTCTCAATTGCAAATGTCAAATTTACCTTTACCATAATAACCTTACTTCTTTCATTTTGGCAGTTTGTAGTTATTATGGTCACTAAGTTTAATAGCGTGAAAAGCCTAAAGTGTAGGTTTTTTTATTAAAGAAAGCGTAAACACACACTACTTTGTGGCGTAGGATGTCAGCAATCACAGCATATTTTTTAATGCTTTCTTCAATAAAAAGCCCTACATTTACGACACGCTTTAGGCTATAGATTTTCACGCTATTAATCTAAGGGGCAAATCAATTGGAAAAATCAACATGTTGGAAAGGGACCATAAACCACAAGCTGCCAACATTAAGGTAGCAAGGTTATTATGGAAACGGTAATTTTGACATTTGCAATTGGGAATTCGACAAATGTAAACAATACAAGTTATCATAATTTTATGAGAATGAAACCCCGCATGGGAAAAGCTAGTTTATCAATATTTAGTTTAATAAGATCAAATTATATTACAACTTACCGAAAAAAAGCACTCTTCCAATCTTCTTGGGTTCCTTCATGTTATTCTCTATGGCCATAGTCACCCCCACCCCTTCCATACTAAACACACACACCCCCAGGAACTCCAGCAAGCCGGGCAAGTCTTTAAAAATCGGCATTTCAAATATACTCACTTTAGAAAATTTACAACCATAGTAAATTGTAGCTCCGGCCAGAATAACTGAAACAAAATAACATTTTAAAAACTACACCGAAAAACAAAACTTCAAAAAACTACAAAATGACAAGCAATACTAAGAGGGCGCGCACACTGACTAAACTATCGAACAACTGTTTAGTCTCGCATACTCCATTTTAGTTATGCAACTAAACAGTTGAGGCTGCGAAACAATTGACAATTGCAAAAAGTTGTGCGATAGTTTAGTCAAATGTGCGCCCAGCTTCAATATTTTGCAAGAAAGAGACATTACGACAAATACACATGATAGAAAGAGATAGATAACAGATTATCAACTCCAGCCGTTTTTAAGGTGGATTATATTTTGCATCGCAGCTAGTTGAACCTATAAATATAAATTATAATAACATTAATAATAACTTACGTAGAAATATATCAGCGAGGATTGAAAATGGTGCTAGATATTTCAGTGAGGTGATCATACAAATCAGTATGCACGGAAGAAGCAGCATTAATACATATGCTCTTAAAGGTGGGTCTCCCTCGAGGGTTACCGTATCTGTGCCCTCGACCAACTGTTTTATCGTTCTGCAAATCACCACCTGGTATACGCAGCAGGAACCGAACAGATCCACGCAGATTGTGAAATCCACGGCATATCTTTGAACAATATTACCATTGGAGTCAATTCAGGTACTTTCAGGGACATAGACGTCCGCAATTGCAGATGCGTTGCCTATCCTAAATCAACGGATGAGGAAACGCACATAAAGAGGACATTTGGCTTTCCTATGCGTCTCCGCCACCGTTAAATCTTTTCCATTCACTCCTTTCCTTTTAAGAAAAGGGTAGAACTGGAAAGGGATTAAAATTGAGCATCCGGCACTACTCATCAGACGAAACGCGGAATTGCTTCCACTTCACGCCTGTCTTCTGTGTGGTCGTGGTATTGCTGGGGGCGAGCCAACCCATTCGTGCAAAGATGTTAAAGCAGGCTCTACCACTGTTAAAATTAATCTTGTTGAAAACATTACGCATCCTTGGTAATACAATCGGGGAAAATGGCGGTGTTCCATTTAAAAAGGTACAATAGTTTGAACATTTTGAAACGAGATGCGGAACAAAAATTAATGCAGCGCAGCCTAAATATGTCTGAACAAAAAAAGTTAACTAAACACGGCTAATTGCTTTTTATTATTGTTATCCCTTCGTTTGCACTCACTGCTATCTAATAAATTATTTGCAAGAGGCGGAGTTTGTCTCTGCAATCAACAAGACAATGTTTTCCAAAGTGGTACACGGAAGATTTCGGCGACTGTACATCTAATGAATCCTTCGCCGTATTCTACTTACGGAAATAGTGCCTTCATTCTTATAACGAAAAACTCTGCCTCTTAAATAAAAACTCTGAGTAGTATCAATGGAATATTAGTGTAAAGCAATAAACCATATCCCTGTCGATATTTTATCATACAAACGTATTTATAACCTACGTTTTACTATTGTTTCGCGTCGTTCCAATTAAAGTAGGACACCACTAAATTCCGGGATAGTACATACTGTGTTTCTCTTAGGAAAAAGGATGATGGATGGATTTTACCTCAAGCTTTTGCTGTATCGCCGTATCCTGGGGAAAGGACAAACAGCGATTGCAGCCTCGGCGACGTCAGGGTAAGACATCTGGGAGACATGCAGTCGACCGTATAGCTTGTGGGCAGACTTTGCTATCATCTAGACATATATTATAATAGTTATCTATATATCTATAGCAATGAATTAGGACCAACATTACTTAGTTATAGAAGATGTCAATCACAGTAGAATTTGAATAACTGATGTTTTTTGTAATAAAATGCCTTACATTCACACGTTTTAGACTAAACATTTTCACAAATAACATCGAAAATTTAAAGCAACATAAGTACAGTCGCGATATATTCGAAATCAGAAACTACAGATCTCATGTCAAATACTTGCAAACCCCAGAGCCACCACCGGGCGCACTGGGCCTTCGTCCTCCAAATAACTCTATCATACGACATCTGTCACCACTCCCTTCTTGATTATATCATCTTACACGCAATCCATCCATCTCTTTCTAGGTTTACCTCTACCGGTGTACCTCCACATTCATAACTTACATCCTTCTTATTACATGCGATTCATCTCTCCTCATAACATGTCCATACCATACTCTTGCCCATAAACTTTTACTCCTTAATTTCTCTACCACTGGGGTTACTCTCAAAATTACACTGGTATACTCATTTCGTATCTTATTCATTCGTGCTTGGGACACATCCATCTTAATATTTCATTCGCCCCTTTAATATTTATTTAGTTATTATTAGTTAATTTGAATCCTCACCACTTTACGGTACCATGTACTATACCCATGTATTAAGATAAATCGACGTTGACCACCTCTGTGTTCCCGATGCTCGTTTGCCCATCTCTTATAAAAAAAATGGTTCTTAACTGTTTTTTGAACGTGATAATGGATGTTCTACTTACATACATACAATAACTGATCAAGAATCCTATTATAATGGTGAGCACCATCGAGGTCCAGAGGCCGCATGATTTGTATGACTCGTGTATGGCCACCACGCCACCGCCAAGGCAACTCTTCACTAAATGTCCCACAGACTCTAAAATACTGAAATTATAAAACACAGTATTTAATATATTTGTTTAGAATACTCTTTATATTCTATATTACGCCATATGTATGTAAAATTCCGAGGAAATTCTAAGATATTATAAGTCTAAAAAGTTACGTTTATTACGAGCATTTTTCGTCATTTAACACATAAATGTTAATTAGGTAAACGACTATTGTTTCTAAATTCTATCGACATTAAATAACAAGCATGCTTATGTAATAAGAACTACTGTTCATATTTGCTCAAAAGCAAATCTGCTTAGAAGCTTGCCCACTTCTACCAAAGTCTTAAGCATTGACTAAAATCAATTGTCGGACGAAACGTCTCTTTTAAAATAATAACTACTAGCAATATTCTACTTGCGCAATACACGCATGCTTCACGTATACCAATACTTTAGGTATCCTAATTGCCCTTGCTACTTACTTAGTCCTCTTCCCGGGCGGTCTGGCCGCCACAAAGTCGTAACTAGCCGCATTAGCAGGGGTAGACTTAATCACAAACTTCGGCCCTTGATTCGACATCTTGCTGCTAGCATCGGTGCTGTCACCAAAAAAATAGCTCTAAAAATTAACACAATTATAAAGAGGGCAGAAAGGTTCAGATTTAAAATTTATGACCGGAATGAAGTAGAAATTGGTGTCAGCTACTAGCTGAGTACATATGTATAGTTGCAGAAATCCGCGGTGTTTCAGTTTAGGAAAAATTGCCTTGTTCATTGCAACGAGGCATACTCCGCCTCTTAACTAATTAGGTAGCAGTGAGTACAAACACGGATATAATAATAAAAAGAACCTAGCCGTGTCAATAACCGACTTTTTATTGTACAAACACATTATAGTGTGTTTAAATAATTTAGATTAGTTTGAAAATTCATTTCAAATTTAGTAGAGATGGGTTGTGTAAAATCATGAATCTTATCGATTTTCGATTTTTATTCTCAAGAAGTTGAAATCGATAGATTTATAGTTATAACTTATGAAATAAAAAAACACTGCTTTTTCAAACTAATATTGACTATAACAAATAATGAGAGTAAAAAATGCTTATTATTACTACAGCCGTACGAAATCGAATTAGATTTCGCTAGTATTTCTGTCATCGCTAAATTCTCTACATTATAATCAATACTAGAATTGTCCTCTACATTAGTGGATAAGAAAGTTATAATTTTAGTTGAGTTTGATAATTATTTAAACCGAATATTAATAGTTCAAAATTGTTCGCTGTGTGTGTTTGTTTCGTCACTACCTGTCTATTAAGTATGGCATTTGCTTACATACAAATTGAATTCGATACTTCATATGCGTCATTTATCAAACTAATCTATCTTATTTAGACAAACTATAATAAGCTGGGTTATATTGGTTTTTGTTCCGTGTCTTGTTTCAAAATGTTCAAACGATTGTAACTATAGTTCACCGCGGGTTACCGCGACTGTACCTTTCACGTAAGCGTATGTATTCTCAGCCATTTTTACACGGATTTTATATAACTACAGAACTTTTATTTGCTGACATATTTGATTGTAAACTAAGATAAAACGAAATGACATGAACTTTACTATTATTTAATAGATGTGTGGGTAAATAAATACTTACTGTTATCGCTCCCATCTTGCTTAAACAATTAATTTAAACAATCAATAATATTTCATGCAACTGAATAATAATCGGTACAAAATGTAAAATAATAAACACATGGTTTTAAAGATATATCAATAAATTATTTTGAAAGCTTTGTACAAATTCTAGAAACAAAAATTGACAGTGCAATATTATTCTTTTTCTCGAAGAATTTGAGTTACGAAAAAAGTTTTAATTAAAAATGACTTTCTTGACATATTACGGAAACTCAAAAATAATAGTAATTTATTGTTTTTTGTATGTATGTAGATTATTTATCTATTAGTATATATATATATATATATATATATATATGTCGCAGGAAGCTATAAATTGACTGTTGCTTTATGTGTTACAAACGTTATTGTCTTGCGTTTTAATATTGTTTAAGATAAAACTATTAATTTAATTCCTTTTTCTCGAAAGTAGAAACTCGACATTTGTATTTAGTTCTTTTTAAAATTAAAAGTACGTCAACTTGCATACGACCAATAAGAGCAGAGCAAGCGGCTCGAGTGGCCTTTATTAGCTCGAGCGGGGTCGAGGCGCAGTTCAGTGCTTAGAGGGCGACGTTTGTAGTGACATGTTGTGGTGCGTGTTGGCAATATATTGTTGTTATATTGTTGTTATATTGTTGTTTATATATATATATATCTATATCTGTACCTATACTATTATAATAAAGCGTAAACACACATTTCTTTGTTGCCTAAGATGTCAGCAATTACAGCATATATTTGAATAATTCTTTTTTAATAAACAGCACTATACTTACGTCACGCTTTAGGCCTTCACTTTTACGCCATTAAACTTATGGGGTAAATATTTTGGACAAAAAGCTTAGTGCGGGAAAGAGACCATTAGTTGCTGCCAACATCAAGGAAGCAAAATTGTCAATGTTTGTCATGTCATGTCATTTTGACATTTGCTATTGATGAATTGACAAATGTAAACAATAAAATGAATATGGAGGAGGCATATTTGACACTTGAAAATTTTTTCATTCTCATTAACGCTATCTATCGATAGATCATTAAAGCCAATTAGTTACTTGTATTAAAATAACCATTTTTTTAATGTCTTTGTTAAATCTGTTCATATCCAGGGCTGGTTTTAGAATATAGCTCTATGGGTATCATATAATCATATATCATATCATATAAATATTATAAAAGCGAAAGTTACGATGGATGGATGTTTTTTAGCGTTTGTAGCCTAAAAGGCTGAACGGATCTCCATTAAATTTGGCACAGGTTTAGAGCATATTCTGGAAGAACACATTGGCTACTTTTTATCCCGAGAATAGTTACGGTGCCCGTGGGATTCATTAAATTAGTTTTTTAATGTTTACTCGATCATTCTGCAACGGTTCAACATATCTTATTGAAATTTGGCACAGATATAAAACAAAGTCTGGAGTACACATGGGATAAGGTTCATCCCCGAGAAATGTTCGGTTCCCGAGGGATACGTAGTGTTTTGTTATTTATATCGTATGTTTTCTAATACCACACGGACGAAGCCAGCAACAGCTAGTTAAGATTATAAATAGTGCAGGGCATTGTAAGTATATTAAAATAAAACAACATTTCTCTATGATTATTTACAAACATTTATTTTATTAATTTAAAAAGAAAAATATCACCTTCCAGGATTTATTATAAAGAAGGCACGTACAATAAGACATCTATTTGTGTATTATTGAAGTTATTTTTTATTATAATGGTTTAGGAAAGCGTTCTGTGTAAAGAAACAATTTAATTTTCCAATTAAATAAAAAACTGTATTCCAAAACTAAATTAAATAACTGGTTAAAAATACGGAATTCATTTTTATTGAATTATTTAAATTTCGAAATTCAAAATTAGAACGCTCGAATTTTAAATGCGTTGCCGAAAAATGGTAACATTAAAAAAATACTTTACGGCAATTTAAATTAAGAATCATTTTAAATCTTAATCAAAATAATTTATGGTTTAGAATTTATGCTTTCTTACTGTGAAATTCCATTTTCAAATATTGTTATCTCTTTCTTGTTTTCTATACAAGTTTTCAGACAATGGAAATCCACAGCATAACATGAGTACCTAACATTCAAATATTACAAGTTATTACTGAAACATGTTGTACAACATGTTTTTGTAGTCAAAACTCATAGATAAAAACATTGTTTACAATTGTACTTATTTCAGTTAAAAGGAACTAATTCTTGTCAACTAAATGCTTTGTTTTGTTATTTCAATATATTTGAACATTTTATTATATAATATTTAGGCCTGAGACTATTTGTATAAAAATATATTTTATTTTCTGTTGCTTAATGTAGATAAGCCTCTTTTAAAAGATAAAAAGCCAATAAATATAAAAAAAACTCGAATACACAATGTAAAATTTTCTTGGAATTCTAATAGCTGTAAATTATTTTATTTGCATAATATTTTATTTAAATTACAATCATTGTTGAATAAGAAAATTGGATCGAAATATTTATTTTAAGACCAAACATTTTTACGTCCGCCATTTTGAAATAGACAAATGAATTGTAATTTTTTAATGCTGGAGATTACGAATAAAAGCGATCGAAGAAAAAACTAGCGGATTACAATAAAACAATCAGCAGAAGATTTAATAATATTTAAGCACCTCGAATGGAACTCTATTAATATACAAAATACAGACATTTAATAAACTATATTATTGGTAATAGGTTGTTATAGTGCGACAAGCTTTTTTGGCCCGGTGTAAGGTCATTAATTCTGTCAGAAAATATAGTGTACTAATATACAGCTAAAGTATACTGCGTGGTTTTTTTATAGCATAAGGTGGCAAACGAGCAAGCGGTCACCTGAATCCGCCAAAATGGCGAAACGACCTCTACCCATAAACATCCGCAGTCGCAGATGCGTTGCCTACCCTTATCCAACGGAGGAGGAGACGAACATAAAGAGGATATTTCCCCTTCCTATGCATCTCCTCCACCGTCAAATCTACTTCCCATTCCCATCTTCTCCTTATAAGAATGGGTGGTACAGAGAAATGGACTTAAATAAGCCTCCGGCATCACACTCATCAGACTGTACACGGAATTGCTTCCACTTCACGCCTGTCTTGTGTGTGGTCGTGTATTACACCAGGCGAGCCGGCCTATTCGTGCTAAGATGTTCACATTTGGGCAGCAGAGTTGGTCAGTAGAACTTAATAATTGGACTGGCATGACCACTTGCGACCAGTGAGTCCATACAGTATGACTGGTCGTTGCTACTGTCTTGTACAGGTCAAGTTTGAACCGAGTATTAGAATATACAATTTGATAATAACAGTAGAGTTGGATATGTTATAATTTAGTTATATTATTGCACACCGGGCCAGTTAAATTTGCCGCACTATACATCTTAAATATGTTTTATTACTAAATATTATTAATTTAATCTTTATGGCAGCTGTTTGACTGTTTTATTTTGTAGTTTATTTTATAATCGTTTGTATTAAATATATATTTTTATTCTCTGACATTAGAAAGGATTTACATCAGCATTTTTTGTAGCGAAATTATTAATAATTGTAACCTAAAGCATAAATTATTTATTAAATATATTTTTTAATAAGCCATTATATAATTAAAAAGTAATAAACTTATTGTAAACGCTAATATGTTACTTAATTACACTTTGGTAATAATAACCTAACATTTTAATACATTCATAAACTAATTCTGAGAAAATCGCTACTAATAAACATAAAAAAAAATATTAAAAGCGAAAAAATAAGCTACCATTCATAGCTAACTAAAAACAATTAATAATAATATTTACATTTACGTAGAATAAGGAATACAGCTGCAGTTAAATTTTATTCAAAATTAATCGAAAGTACATTTTTTAAGTAACTTGGCTTAAATCGAAAATAATCCGAAAAAAATCTGTACAAATTAAAGTCAAGCAAACTGGGATAAAAAGCGTTTGTACTTAATAATTATTAGAGCTGCGGAGATTATTAGATACGAATGAAATATAATAAAAACAGCCTAAACGACAATCACTCTAAGACAAGACGCTAAAATATCTGTGAAATGTCTTTTGGCGGTGAACTTTTTTTACTCTGTGACAGAAAATAACTTTAAAAAAATGTAAGCATAAAATCCGCCATTTATAATCTGTGACAGACATCAAAATGACAACTGTCTAATGCAGTGACAAAAATGATTTCAAAAAACAACTTTTAAAATGTTACGATTTGTGTTTATGTGTGATATTGCAGCTTTTTTTGTTTTTTTTTTTGACAAATAGTGTTGTGCGTCTCGTCTTCCCTCCATTAAATTATCGATACTAACAAATAAATAATTTAGGCTATCAGTTTAAAGCATTCGAACAAGAAGGTACATTAGAGTTGTGGAGATTGCGCTGAAGATTGTTGGTCTGATGGAATTACCGGAGTTGCCTCGGTACACTGAAAAAAAAAAACATATATCTTAGAATGCACAGTCTTAGGGTCTTTACACTAAAAATCGATTAAACATTAGTCAATAGTTGTCAAAGGTTGATTTCTCAAAAGTGTTCACCCCTAAAGAGATAGTTCCCCCAAAGAAGGCAATTCCCTCACTACATTTGTAATATTTACAATTATAAATCAAACACAACAAATGCAAGTAAAAACTATTAAAACCTATAAATGAAAAAGCAAAATGAGTATTAAAAAAACAAAAAATAAAGCATTTACCTGACGCATGCTGGATCAACTCTGGTTGAGCTTCTAAAAAAAATAAAAGGAAAAAACAAAATAAAAAAACATGCTATGAAAGTCTTGTAAATTGATGAATAAAAAGAAAAATAAACAAAACAAAATGAAATGCAAAATAAACCAAAATTCTGTCTTATTATTTATATAAACTGTTTGAAAAGGTACTTTGTTTTTTAATAAAAATCTGTACAAAAGAAAAGTTGTATCAACTAACTAGCTGTTCCCATGCAACATCATCTGCATATAATTATAAAAAAAAATATTTTATTGTTTACATGTGTCAAATTATCAATTGCAAATGTCAAAATGACTTGACATGACAAACCTTAGCAATCTTGCTAACCTTAATGTTGGCACCAACTTATGGTCTCTTTCCCACATTAGGGTTATTATCCAAAAATTTTTCCCCCTAAGTTTAATGGTGTGAAAATATATAGCCTAAAGCATGAGATAAGCGTAGGGCTTTGTATTAAAAAAATTGTTATTCAAAAATATGCTGTAATTGCTGACATCTTAGGCAACAAAGAAGTGTGTGTTTACGCTTCATTATAATAGTATAGAAGAACACTTTCTGTTGGCGTTGAACATCCCAAATATTGCTATTGTCTTTTCTTTCTAATAAGTAAGTCAGCTATATTAATAAATGAGTTTTAAAATTATTTTTACATTGCATTTATCTAAATTATTTCTTTCATATTTTCATTCTTGCCTTATTTCTTTACTTTATTTACCATATAGTTATTTGTCTTACTAACTTTTAAATTTCTTACTTAATAATTATTTTATTCTTACTTATGTCTAACCAAAGGCATTTCAGAAATATTTGAATTGGCATTTTTCACCATTACTCTCTGAAAGGTACTATACCAGTTGTCAAGAGTAAAAATCGAAAATCGAAAAGATTCATACCTGATTTTACACAACCCATCAAATTGTCAAACTAATTTATGTTATTGAGACAAACTATAATTATTGTTTTTTTACTTCTCTTTAACACACCTTTTTACTTTATATACTATTGTAATAAAACGTAATCACACACTTTTTTGTTGCCTAAGATGTCAGCAATTACAGCATGTTTTTGAATAATTCTTTTTTTAATAAAAAGCCCTACACTAACTTCATGGTTTAGGCTATATATTTTCACGCTATTAAACTTAGGGGGTAAATATTTTGGATAAAAACCCTAATGTGGGAAAGAGACCATAAGTTGCTGCCAACATCAAGAAATAAAGATTGCTAAGGTTTTTCATGTCATTTTGACATTTGCTATTGACAATTTGACAAATGTAAACAATAAAAAGGATGAAGCCGCACGGGAACAGCTAGTATTTTATGTT